ATATTCCTTATTTTGGAGCCAATTATTTAATATAAATGGTATTTACGTTCAATAATTATCCATAATTCAATATATTTGATATCCGATAGAGAAATACATACAATAAAATTATAATATTTTAACCTATAGTATAAATCTTTAACTCAATATTTTTACAACTTATAAATTATTATGTGTAAATAATCTGTTTTTATTATTTAATTTATTTCATTAAATGATTTGAATTGAACAGAATTGTTTTATAACTAAAATAACATTTTTATTATATTCTTTTACAATTATGTAAACATCGAGTTATTTATAAACTTGTATTACATTTAATGGACATTATATTAATAAATTGGAAAAATTAAAAATGAGAATAAAGAATGGATTATCAGGTAATGAAGTTTAGGCTAACGAAAACCTAACATTCAATTTTAAACTTGGATTTTCTTTATATAATCCGAACTTATCTAATAAACAAGGTTTGTAAGTAAACCGCAAGCTTAACCACATTTCACGAACAATTATTTTAGATTATTCAACGAATTAACTTAAAGGGAATTTAATAATTTCGGAATTAACATGATATTAAATGGGAGGGGTTGGAGGGGTGGGGTTATCGCTCTGTATAGTCTGATACTAGTAATTGTTAGATTAATGTTTTTATTTAGCAACAAAAATAAGTTATAATAAAAAGTAATATTATTTTTAGTAATAGAAAGAAAAACGCTAAAAATTCATTAAAAATTATAAGATTAAAATCAAAACAATCAATGGTTTAATGAAAGTATAATTTAATTAGTATATAGCAAAGCGTTAGTATTATATTTGACACATTTAATCTAAAACTCAACTAAAATCTTAATTATTGGTTTAAAATAACCTAATATTGCTTCACATGAAGTTAAGGCCAAATCACTATTTATGGAAAAATGTAGATAAATATAAGTTTGTGGCAAATAATGACTTTGTTTGTGCTTTGAGTTAAACTCACAATATATCCATTTCTCTGTCTCTGTGGTCAATATTAATTAATTAGTTCATACATTTTAGTCATTAGTAAAGCATTGTATTAATGGTAACATTGAAATTAAAAGAAATCTAACTCAATCGTCGGATTAATTTATGATAATTATTTAAAAACAATTTATGCATGTTCATTTTGGACAAACAAACTTATTAACAATTAAGACTATATTCTAAAAACAGTATTCAAATATATTTAGTGGAAAGCTATAGAATTTTCATAAATCTTATGATTGAATAAAATATTTGTAACGAAAACTGATTTTTACATAACATTTTTAATATTAATGTTTATGTCGTTATAAATTTGATTCAATTATATATTCAATAAAAATCAATTTTATACAGAATTTAGAGTTTAATGTACTCTAAGTTAATGTATTTTAATTACAAAATGAATTTTAGATGACTTGACATCGTTTTCCGTACATATTTAAATATATTAGCCTTCAATTCAAACGATAATTTAAATATTCATAAAATCAAATGTTAAAAATTAACTTTTATTTAGGCATTTAAAAGATTAGTATTTTTATTTATTTTGCTATTATATTTTTGCTATGGTTATTTTGTTACCTTATTATTTTATAAGTTCAATGCGATCAAATGTAAATTATAGTAGCATTTTATATATTTTAAGTACTTAAATATTGAGATTTGTAACCAATTATAACAGACAGATTTGTACAAAAAAAAACAATGTTTTGTTTCAAAGTTATTAAATTATAAATTAATAGTAAATAAAATTCAAAATTTAATCAACACTTTTAGTAAAGAATACAATGTGTATGAATTGATTGCCGGTTAAAAACTGGTAATAATTTTAAGATTAATAGGCGTTCAAATGTCATATAAAATTATAGTGAATGTTGTGCTGGAAGTGCGAAAACAAAGTAAAAATAGTGTTAAGATTGAAATTTTGTTAAACCTATTCTGTATTTAATTTATTTTCAAAACAATCTGTTATTAAACATTTCATAAGTAATTCACAGAATGAGGACATGTAATAATTGAAGAGTTATAACATATCAGTGATAAGAAAATTGATTTTTCATTTTTAACCTCATCTCAAACTTTGAGTAAATCTAATGAGAATATATTGGTATTGTCTTACCTGAGGGGCGGTTTACCCCTTATTTGTGTTAACCTGTGGATCAAAGAAATTGAATCAAGCTTAAAACCCAACTTAAGTCTATTAAGCGCATTCTCTTATTTGAATCACAATTTGCATAACAAATACAAACATCAAAATAGCGGCAATACGTGAAGAATATTAAAAGTAACGCAAAGTTAAACATAATATAATATCTGTAGAAAACGGCAAATAATATACTTTAGACCTTTGATGGCATAGATTTTTAAAATGTATTACCATTTTATATTTATGATACATATTTATGGGACAACATTGAATACAAAAATCAATACTACAATTGAATATGTTTTAATAAACAATGATTTTTATTCAAAATTAAGTTATTTACAGCATTACATAGCTATACAAAAACCAAAACAATGTCTAAATGCTTGGAAATAAAATTTAAAAATCTATTTATAATGTCATTGATTAATAATTATTGTATTAAATTTAGGATATATTCACACAATTGATGTATAAAAAGGGATCAAATGTTCCTAAATTTTGTTGTTGTCATAAATCTTATTAATTAAATAAATTTAAAACACATTTTAAATTCTCTACGAAATAATAGTAATCAAAACAAATAATGTTTATATTGATTGAGAAGATTTTGAATCAAATTGGAATGAATTGACTATTTTTTCCGTGCATTCAATCAATTTTTATGCAAAAATAACTCAAAACTAAATTCAAAGAACACAATAATCAATGAAAACTAAATCTAAAAATTGGTGTTTAAGTGGATTGAGTGATATTCTGGAAAAGTCTTTGTCCCCAAAAGCTCTCGAGATCGAAGGGCTCGAATTCTGTACAAACCAAACATTATTTCACTTCAATTATCATTATGTAATCATTAGTAATGCAATACTTGGCAGATGTGAGGTCTTATCGAGTTTATGATAACTGATTTGAGGCACTTTTATCTCTTTAATGTTCTGCGAGCTCTTATGGTCTCCACTCATACCGTGTCTTAAACTTGTGTCCAAATCTCTTTTCACGCATTTCCAGCCTTTAATTATAATTTTACAGACATTTTATTTTTATTCTTTTATTAGTAATAATTATTAATTAAATTTAAATCTATTAAATGATAACATTTTTTTCATTTCAAAAAATAACAATTAAAACAAAAGTGAAATTTTAGTTAATTTCTTAATTAACAATATCTGAATAATTAAATGAATTAAATAACTGGATGTATTTTTAAAATAATTTTTTTAATACAATACAATGTACACTGTACATTGTACAGTATACATTTACTGTATAATGTGTTATATTTGCGAAAGTATTTCATTACTATTGCATCAAATCATTCAAATTCAATGACACCAATGACCTAAAGAACCGGTAAACCAGTAGTAATCCGGTTCTCGCGTCATATCAATTGTAAATATCACAGAAATTCATTTTAAGGCCAATAAATAAATTATAATTAAAGCACACATTTAGCAAAATAGCGGCAAAAGTTGTTTTCAGAGGTATTCATATGCAAGTGATTTAAAAAACTGCATCAAAATAATAATCCAAACATTTAATGATTTATTCAAATTAAAGTCAATATAACTTATGATTGAATAAATAAATAAATGAATAGTTTATGACTAAAATATATAAATAATTGAATGAATATTTAAATATAACATTAAATAATTAATTAATTAATGATTGAAACAGACTTTCGTGGATGTATTGAACCATTTCTTGGTGTTGAGCACTAATCCCTTCGCTTTGACTCCTTTGATGGTAAGTCTTGCGGCCATTCATATGAAAGACTGGTCGCGGGTTTGATGAGCCGCTGAAACAGATCAACACTTGATTAGCAAAATCAATACATCAACACATCGACGCCGATCGGCACCACATCCCACACCAAGACTGCAAACCTAAGACAATCGTTGGCGTGGAAGCCATTGAAGTCCCTCCGAAAGCCATTGCTATTATCTCTTGTATTGGTCTCCAAGTTATCCAACTTCTGGGGAATCCCTGCTATGAATGCAATCAAAACGACAGATCATTAATAATGACATTCAATGGTAAGTTCATCATCAGATGGATCACCTCTTCTAGTCTTGGCTAATATCTTGTGGCCCTTGTGTTCCTTCGATACCGAATACATTGTCTTCACTCTTACCACTAATCCTATTGATTATCAATCCTCTCGAGTCAAGTGTCTAATTATCACTTAATTTATGGTAATTATTGTGATAACGCTTAAGACTAATAGCTTTTACTATTCATATGAATATCACATTCAATGCAATAATGCATTCATTCAACACTTCCATCACTTCTACATAAATGTCGTCCAAATATACCACCGATGAGACACTCACTACCCATTGGTCACCACTTCTTCAGTAATCGCCACAAATGCACACATTTTGTCGCATTAATCAATATGTATGCTCTCATCACTATTAACCATGACCATTAACCAAACTAGCTAGGTCATTAGAATATCACTAACTATTATTATAATTTATACAATAAGCCCAAACATAGGGGACATTGAAATTGTTATTTCTAATCAATACCATATGCAAAATGATCATAATATAAGTGATGATCGCATTATTGACCATGGTCACTTGTTTTCACATAGCTTTAGTTATTTATTGAATGCCTAGCAATGAAAATATATTTCAAAAAATTACAATTTTATTTTTTGGATTCAGTTTAGAAAGAATTAATTAATTTCGTCACTGCATGTATGGATAGTTTGTAACGCATTATATGAATGGCCCATAAGTCACGTGATGTGTTGCAGCGTTTGTGTTGTGTTTTGGGTTAAAAGGCGCCAAATGTTAGACTCTTTTTGTGATTTAATTAACGTTTAATTTGATTGTAATTTAAGACAATATTGTGATAGAAATTGTGGCAAAACAATGGCCAACAAGTGTGAAGTGATTTACAAGAATGACAATTATCTGATCCAAGAGTACGACTACGAGACACAGTACTACCCGTACTATAACTCACGCGTCCAGCTCTTGAAGCCATACCTCGTCGAGAGTATTGGCCACAAATGGGGATCAGATGTGAAAGTCTTGAGTTTGCATGAATTGGCGGATCATAACGAAGACATCAAAGCAGACATTGAATTCAAATGCGAGGAAAAGGTTGTCATTATTGGCACACTTTTCAAGCGGTCCCGCAATCAGCCGAGTATTCTCAAGGAGTTGAGTGAAGACAATCCCGTATTAGGAGATCCAAAGCCGGAGAAATGTATCGCCGAAGACGACACTCTTTGGCTCCAATCGGACGACGAGACCATTGAAGTGATTGGAGTGGATGTTCACAACCACTGCACCGGTGTTTGCGTTGCCCTCAAAGGCTTCGAAGAGACGAGTCGATCGGTGTTTGTCGTCGACGACGTCTGTTATGCCGGCATTTGGGCCGAAGTGACGCCAATTGAAAGGAGTCTTACAGTGAAAGACCAATACATAGCTCTGGTGTCTGGACTCGGGTTCTCGAAGTTTATGAATACAAACACAAAACTCACAAAAGGTTTAAATCTGTTGACAGACATATTGAAGGGTAACTCAGAGTTCGCTCAAAACAAATGCATTTCTCGGCTGATTATCGCCGGCAATGGCATCGGATTAGACGCTCGGAAACAGGAATGCGATTCAATACTGGATGTCGTGCTTCCCGTTTGGACACAAAAAGCTCGGGCGCAGACACTGGAGGCCATCACTCTATTCGACACATTTATGGCACGTATCGGACAATCCATTGAAATCGATGTGATGCCCGGCATTCTGGACCCGACGTCCCAACTCTGGCCCCAACAACCACTACATCCGTGTGTCTTCAAGAAAGCCTTTCAATTATCATCCATAAAATGTGTATCGAATCCACATTCGGCTAATTATAACGGAGTGGAAGTGTTGGGCACTTCTGGACAGAACATCGATTCCATCAGAGAATACACTAAAATGAATGACAGCATTGAAATAATGAAGAAGAGTCTGGAGTGGTGTCATATGGCGCCGACCTGTCCCGACACTATGCTCTGCTACCCATTCAAAGACAAGGATCCGTTTGTATTGAGTCAATACCCAGACGTGTATTTCGTGGGCAATCAGAAGGAATTCAATAGCGGCTCATATGAAGCGCCGAATGGGAAGAAAGTATTACTCGTTTCTGTGCCTATCTTTGAGCAGAAGATGATTTGCGTTCTCATAAACACCACATCATTGAAGTGTGATATCATTGCTTTGAATTAACACACATTTAATTGACAATCTTTTACTTGATATGAGACTCATATTCTTGTAATTTTATTTCCAATATTTTTAAATCTATTTCTTTATTCTTAAACAATAATCTGTTATTGAAGTGAATGACAGGAATTTCATACCTGTATTTGTGAAACCATTTCTCATTAGTTTTCTCTTTGATATCGATTTCAAAGTATTGAACTCTACTGAGGAATGGCTTCAACTGGTGCTTAACCTCATCACAGAGACTGCACTCTCTCTTCGTATATAATGTTAACGAAGGCAACGGAAGAGCACAGGTGTTCTCTTCCCGTTCTTCATTATCACTGCATGTAATAGTCATTAATTGTTTATTAAAATTTTAATTCAATAATTGTATTAAAAAATATGTTTATAAAAGAATAGAATTTCATAAAATGTCACAACAATTGTCTTACAATTTCTGCACCAAAAGAGCCGAAGCACCGCCGCCTCCGTTACAAATGGCTGCCATACCGTACTGTCCGGCCTTCAGATGCAGAGCCAGACTATTAACAATGCGGGCGCCGGACATACCCAACGGATGCCCAATACTGACGGCACCTCCGTTGATGTTCACTTTACTGGCATCGATGTCCAACATCTGTATATTAGCGATCACTACAGCGCTGAACGCCTCATTGATTTCCCACAAAGAGATGTCCTCTTTCTTTATATTAAACTTATTGAGTATTTTGGGGATCGCAAAGGCGGGCGCTATCGCGAAGTCCACGGGATCAACGGCCGCGTCCGCGAATCCAACAATTCTGGCCAATGGTTTCAAACCAAACCTATCGCAAGCCTTGCGAGTCATGAGGACAGCGGCGGCGGCGCCGTCGTTGAGAGTACTGGCGTTGGCGGCCGTAATGGTTCCGCCGTCTCTCTGGAACACTGTTGGCAGAGCCGGGAATTTGTCGAAATTCACTTTTTTGTACTCTTCGTCTTCCGAGACAATCGTCTCTTTGGCCCCCCTTTTGCCGGCGATCACAACCGGTGTTATCTCTTCGGCCAAAATACCACTGTTGGCTGCGTTTGCGCTGCGCTTATAGCTGTTAATGGCGTATTCGTCCTGTTGTTGACGAGTGATTCCCAGCTTTTTGGCCGTCTTCTCAGCGCAGACACCCATATGAATGGGTTGATAGGCGTCTGTCAGCCCGTCGTAAACGATGCCGTCTTCGAGTCTTACGCCGCCATACGTTGTGTCACCTCTTTTCAGATAAAAGGGCACATTTGACATGCTTTCCATACCTCCCGCTACTATCACCTCCTGATGGCCACACATGAGACTCTGAGCGCCAAACATCATAGCCTTCATTCCCGAAGCGCACACTTTGTTGACACTTGTGGTGGGAATAGTGGTCGGAAGACCCGCTCCGAGCGCGGCCTGTCGTGTGGGCGCCTGTTTGAGACCCCCTTGTAATACACTTCCCATTATTACTTCTCCGATATCTATGTTTTGTTAATAATTGTTTAGTCATTAAATCAAATCAAACAACAATTTCAACGAAACCTTCATTCTTAAGGCCAGATCTCTCGATAGCGCTTCTGATGGCAACGGTTCCCAATTGTGGTGCAGATAATGCCGACAATGAGCTCCTGAAAGAGCCAACAGGTGTTCGCGCGGTCGACACAATCACCACTTCCTCCGAGTATAAGATACCACACGTGGAGAAGCGATTCAACAATACTTTGGCCTCATTTCGCAAAACAGACAATCGTTTTGTGGACCGAAACATGTCTTCAATGATTAATGGATTCAATCAACGCTTTGATCGCAAGTATTGGTTAACTTAGAAATCACTTATGGGTTGGCATTCACTGCATTAATCGGGACACAAGTGTTGTCAACACAATTCAATCAATCGTGCAATGAATGTACTCAATGAATGTACATGCCTAACACAACTATGACCATGATCAGTGATCATTCATATTGTGATTCAATGTCAGTTCATTATGGGTTCACACAATACAGTGGCAACAAATTGGTCGTCATTTCTTGACATAGCATTACATTAGAACCCAAACTATGTTTGAAGTTGTGCTCACTATTCAAATATACAATACACTACTGTATTATTCAATTTAATATGTTATATAACTTATAATAAGATACAACTTTAAAGTTACTGTTAATTACATAAAAGTGCGGACATTTAATTCAATGTCAAACATCAACTTTTTTAATTAAATCTAATTAATGTCTCAAAGTTTGAATGAATTGAATTCACTTTAGGGGACACTCGGGGCACAAATATGGGCCCCGAATGGGAGCCTTATATTGAGGTTATATTGTAGTGCTATTGTAAGCTCTAAATTGAGTGCAACTCTAACTCAACACAACTCTAAACACAATACCATTACATATGATATGATTGATAAACGAAAGTATTGTTTACTGTTTATTGAGTTTTAGTTTACAGACCATTGAATTAACGCCTCTTTTCGGTTCATTTCATTCATTCATTATTACTATTCAAACATTAATTTACTTTAAATATAATTATTGTTATTAAATATGAGTTTAATTGCAATCGACTGATGAATGCGTGAATTAGAGGACAAATAATGGCCACAAATAGTGTGAATGAAAAGCATTTGATTGCAAACCGATTGTTAGAGTCCGTCAAACAAGTGAGACATTGATTTCAATTACTCTTTCATATGATCTTCAATTTGACATCAATTTTACGCATCATTTAGTGTCAGATCCGATTCGGTGGGCGTTCAGAGTTGGCCACAGATATGGATCAACGAGTGGTTAAATTGTGTCAATCACTGGAGGAGGCGTTCAGTCACGGCCTCCGCAAGAATCGCAATCTTATTCATTACAAAAGGTTTGTATTTAACATGTCTTGAGAATCATTTTGTTGATTGTCTTAACCGATGGCAGGAGAACAGCGAAGAATGGTTTACCCCGGAGTTCAAGTAGTAATCAGGGCTTCACTGACGAGACAACTGTTTGTTTCTGGCATTTTGTGAGTCTTCATCTGACACGACATGAATTCGACCGGTATTTGCTTCTGAGGAATATTAGGACAGGTATGACATGTCATGACATGACTCGACATATATTGATATATTTGTTTGTTGTCAGACACGGGTCGGGGAAAGGCTTGGCTAAGGAGTGCACTGAATGAGCATTCGTTGGAGAGATATGTGTTGAGTCTATTGTCGGACTCTCTTTGTCTTCGCAACGACTTCTACGAAGAAAACGCATTCATGAGAGACGAAGAGATTAACTCTGTTTTGCCGACCATTTCTCGTGGACTCAACTCAATCTTATTTGCCATAAATATAGATAACTCAGAATTCGATGTCTTCGCAGAGAGTAAAACGTTAGACAAAAACCACAGATCAGATCCACTGCCAGTTGTCTGTAAATCTGAGTCGACTACTGGTGTGAGGAAAAGACGGACTCGAGTTAATGTGATATCACTGAGCGATGACGAGCGCGCGGATGAGCCCAACGCGGCCCGAAGCGCACCGACCACTTGTCTCTCTTCACCCGATTCTGTATTTGCAGACAAACATTTGTCGACCACTTATGACACCAATAATAGCTCTCTCACTACAAACCAATCAATGGAAAGGAATGTTGTATTGACTCCTTTTGGTGCCGAAAATGTGGATCATTTAGAACTGATGGTTGACAACAGTGGCAGTGATTTTGACAAATTAACACAATCACTATTAGTTCTAAAGATATTGTTTAACCTCAGCTCATCATTACTCTGTTTACACCTCAGTTTGACACCTCTCTTTCGGCTTGAGCTTTCTTCAGCGCTTCTCTAAGTCATGAATTTTCTCAAACACGAAGAAAAAGTGTCAAAACTATTGACACAAAACGATAACTTACATAAAGACAATGAATTACTGCAAATGCAACTCAACAAATACATAGCAGCCGTTCAATTGCTTAAGTATTCGGCCAAACAGGACACGGAATGCGCGGCCAATCCTTCCGAACCGTCTTTCGAAACGACCAAAGCTTTCGAAACTCAGAACGAAAGCTATTTTACGGAAATATCGGAATACGAGAAGAAGTTGGTAGAAGTGGCAGAAATGCACGCAGAGTTAGTCGAATTCAACCAACATCTCCATCGAGTGATCGCTCAGAAGGACCAACTCATCACTCGAATCAAACACGAGTTGATTCACTTGAGAGGACCGGTATTTCCCTTTTACTCCTTTAATATCTGTTTTATAAGTCGAGTTATGAATCGTA